TATGTATGTATGTATGTATATACATATATATATGTGTGTGTGTGTATATATATATATGTGTGTGTGTGTGTGTGTGTGTGTATGTATGTACATGTATATGTATATGTTTACGTATATATATATATATATACGATACTAGTCGAGAAAAAAACTCGGTGTGCTACAATGTACATTTCCATCTTCTATCTGCAGCTATACACAGTGGAAACGACGTGCGACGAGGTCTTGACAGCGGTCAGACTTCTATCGCTCAGCAAACTCCCACGGAGACCGTCCATAGGCTGTCTCTATATCTATTAGATACTCCGACTCACCAACCGGGTGATACCACCATTCCACAGGACTATGTAGGGTCGTGCTCGAGATTGTTCGCAGACCACTGCACCTGTATCACTTGTTGTAACCTGCCACAGTTAGCATTAGAACCGTCGTCAAGTGTACCACAGACGACAGATGCGTGCAGGATGGAGCGAAGTACAATAACACACCCACACACACACCCACACACACCAGTACTACCACACCCACACACACCAGTACAACCACGCCCACACCCACAAGCACTCGACCCAGAATGTGTCCTCAACCCTGACCCCATCCCGGTGGCCGCAATCGTGCCGCCCGTGTCCCTCTGGAGGCCTAAAACCCCAAACCCAGGACAGTTGGGCAACGGAATGGGTCATGCGGAGATGATACCAGACCGCCAGGACGAGCAGACAGACGGCTTACAGGCAGTGGCTACGTCGAGTTGCAACTGGCAATGGCCTATACTCGCATCACAACCTGACTTACCACCAGTTGAATGGGTGCCCCTGTGTGGTACCGAACTTCTACAGCTAGTCTGTGCACCACAGACGACTGACCCACTTCCGGTACACACGGATAGTGGTACTTGGCCCATAGGGATTGGTAGTAGGGACGTGGGCAAGGCACTGGATATGCGCCTCACTGACGCAAATGCATGCATGGACACCTGTGACTCTGATGCGTGCATGGACACTGGCCTATACACCCACAGCACAGCGTATCTCAGTCTCAGTCCACAGCCTGAGCAGCGTGCTGTGTCAGAGGAGGCGCTGATCAACCTCATCCCACACTCAGGCTCCACCTCACCTGTACAAACGCCCACTCTGTTTGAGGTGTCGCCCATCGCAAGCACTGCGGAGTGTAGCATAACTCCCACACAAAGTGCACAGGGAGATCAGGTGTCTGCTATACCACCTACTGTGGGGTGTAGCGTATGGGGCTATCCCGCCGACACCTGCCTGGAGTCTGTACTGCTGGAAGGGCCTGTGTTCCGAATGGAGACATCACCTGTGCACACAGATGAGAGTCTCGTGAACACTCTGGCACGGACAGTGAGGCTGTTGCGAGATGTGGGCAATTGGTTGGAGACTGCAGAGCAGGTACTTGTGAAGCACTGAGTGGTGGATAACGTTGTGTGAAGAGTCAGAGTCTGGGTACGTTTATACCCGAGTGAGTGATATGTGTTAGCTAAAGTTATATGACCAAGTCAGAGTATTTGGGTACGTTTATATCCAGGCGAGGGAGATGCGCTTGTGTATGGGTGCCATTTAATACAATTGAGTGTACCGTTTGTAGCGTGTTGCCATCTGCTGCGACAGTCTATTAGTCCCTATCCTCCGCTGGCGTGTCCGCTAATACCTACCCATCACTATCTCTGGCTCAAACCACGTGTTCTCTGCTCATTGATAGGATTTGTCGATCGCGTTACAGAAGTGCGTTGACCAGTCGGCGAGCACTTTGCCTATGCTGTCAGTGTCGGATTTGCTATGCTCACAGACCACAGAGTGGGGCGGAGAGGTGCCAGATCTGCCCAAAGAGCCCGCCTTGGCATGTACATGCCCGCAGTTGCTATGGCAACCGTTCATTTTCCCACCCCAGGCACCTTCCATATCGGGACGTATACCTACTTGCAGAGGACTCACAACGCGTAGACACACCCCGGATAACCAGCCCCCGCGCAGTGAGCGCACACGGCCGCAACGACCTATCACTGACGCAAACCCCCGCGGTACCGAACATCACTACAATTTACGCAGACACCCCACCCCTGCGACCCAACCCCAGACAACCCAGTCGCAGGCGAGAGACACTCCAGACAGCCGTGACAGTGGGAGAGTGGGCTGTGGTCACTCTCTTGCAGTCCATGAGATGAATGCACCACAAGGCCGAACATCTCCCACCACGCCCACCCTGCGCATGAGTACGTGCAGGGCTGTGGCTAGCACAGGTGATAGTAGTCAGAACAGGGACGACGCCCATGTGCGAAAGGCGCTGAGACGCCGAAACAGTGCGAGGTATATACGAGAGCTGACAGCGGCTATGCTTGCCGACACGCCTGCCCAGCACGAGAAGGAGGGTGTGGGAGATGTGGAGGGAACACACACCACCGCCAAGAGAAAGTCTGTAAAGCAGCCACACTGCGAAGGTACGGTTGACAGCGACACTGCCGACCCTATCACCAACAGCAGCATTTTGGTCAGAAGTGCACCCACACGCGCCGAGACAGGTCCTCAGTTTTTGGACCGGTCGGACGGGACAATTGGTGGCCGGGGCACCAAGAGGAGGTGCTGTGAAAGCCCCAGTGAGTGGGAGGGGGTGGAGACACACTCGAAGAAGCGCAGAGTCTCACCACAACTGATCTCGGCTCAGCTGTTAGAATGCGATAGCACAGACGAACAACACACACACACACACACGCCACACCTCAGCTGTACAGCGTATGAGCCAGTCAAGAGAAATACACGAGTGCACACACAGGTGGCGGAGAAGGGTACAGGCAAGGCACACTCATATAGTGGGATATCCCTACGAATTACGGGGCTAAGGGCAAGTGCAACGGGTATTAAAAGGCTAAAGGACGAGATGACGGGAGACCCACGGACACTCGGCAAGGCAACAGCTAGCCACCGCACCACACACGCACATGCAACACACACGAACCCATGCACACCCACACACACACCACCTGCACGCACACACGCGCATACAACACACACGAACCCGTACACACCCACACACACACCTGCACGCACACGCGCACATACAACACACACGAACCCGTACACACCCACACACACACCTTCACGCACACACGCACGCACGGGCACGGGTCCAAGCCATCTGGCGAGCAAATGGCCAGCCACCTCACTGGAAAGGATACATGGTGACAAGGGGTGTGACAATGGGACAAGCGGAAAGGATGAGGAGAAAGAGAAGGCGAAGGAGAAGGAGAAGGAGAAGGTGCCGCTAAGGAACACGCGTGCGTGGGAACCACTGCACTCGACTTGGACAACAGAGACAGACGAGAAAACGGGCGAGGAAACGGACAAGGAAATGGATAAGGATAAGGATGCGGATAAGGATACGGATAAGGATATGGATACGGATAAGGATACGGATAAGGATATGGATAAGGACAAAGATAAGCAAATGGAAACGGAAAATGAGTCCGAGGACGAGTATGGGAATGAGATGGAGATGGACAAGGGACGGGCTGTGTGTATCCAGCCACCGACATCCCCCGCAGTGCGGCATGAGCCCAGAAGTTCGGTACCTAGCAGCTCCTACGCTTGCACACAACAGCAGCATCGACTGCCCCCGCCCCAACGCTGTGCACAGGAGATCAGAGGGCTGAGAGAGGACATGCTGGCAGACACGCCTGCACCTCGAGACAGGGGGGACAGGGCCGGTGGGACAGATGGGAACGCACCTGTTTATACAGGGCACGGTACACCCTCGCGCACACGGGCAAGGACCAGTCCTTTTGTCAGAGACGGGGCGGACACAGCTGTGAACGGAACAGGCGCTCAGAGCAACGGCGGTCCCAGCCCAAGCGGACGAGGTGCAGGGCAGGTGCACCCGCACAAACGAAGCGCTCGGGAGACACCCACGACCCACGGCACCACAGACACGCAGTCGCGTTTGCAAAGTGGGCGCACTCAACCAACTAAACCTACAGCTCACACCACACAGTCCCACACAGTGACCCCTGCACACACACTCCCCTCGTACCGCTCTACGCAATCACCCGCACACGTGTGGGGTAGCAGTGGGGCGTACAGCGTAAGACGAGGTGTGCGTCTGCGTCTGACGCTGCCCAGACACCGCGCAGAGACACACCACGGGACGACGGAGGATAGCGTTGATATGCGCACAGATACAACACAGACACCACGCAGCAGGACACACGTGGCTGAGATACCAACTACACAGGCAAGCATGGATGTGTGCACAGGGGTATGCACACGCACACGCACACGTGCACACACACGCGTGGTCACAGCCACAGCCCCTCCGGCGCCACAGCCAGGGACGGTTAAGGCGTGTGTGAGGGCAGAGAGGGATGAGACAGGCGAAGGGCGGATGGGAAGCACAGCTCATAACAGAGCGTATAGGGGACTGCTTATGTACTACACGGGGAAGGACAAGGTGCGCAGGCGTGTGCCAAGCACCTTGCCCTCGCATTATCGAGCCAAGCTACTGTCGCACATCAAGATAGACCCTACACATACCTATACATATACACATACACATGCACATACACACAACACGCAGCCACGGGCACAGGCATGGGCGTCTGGTGCTCTGAGCATGCACACCCTACGACAGCCCTGTAGCTACGCAACGGAGACAGGCACGTTACACCCCACGTGCACAGTACACAACACATGCAACACACCCAACACACCCAACACCCAGGCAATAGGTATGACGACGATGCAACGCACACGCGGAATGGCAGGGGAAGGTACGGACACAGAAAGTGGGGTAGGAGTTGACTCACATCCCTCTGAGCCATGGCCCTTTCCCCGCGGAGAGGTGCAGTGTCCCAAAACCCTGGCATGGGGCTGAAACGGACCTCAGCCAACATCAGGGCGTACAAGGGGATGTTCATGTACTACACGGACAGACACAACGTACGCCGGAGTGTACCGTGCACTCTGCCCCACCGCTACCGAGCCAAACTCTTATCCCACATCAAATGCCACACTGCACACACGCGCGCGTATGGGGTGGTGTTTATGCACAACCTACGACAGCCCTGCAATTATACGGCGGAGACAGGGACGTTGCAACACACGTGCGTAGTACACAATGTACGTGACACGCACAACCCGCATAGTATGAGCATGCTCATGGACCCAGCCTATCGAGCGCAGCGCCTGGCAGAGACATACTTGGCCCAGAATAACAGGTGGGATGGCCACAGTCAGGTCACACGGACCTTTGATCGCGTGGATGTGGCTGAGAAGCAGGAGGCGCAGAGACAGGGCTGGGGACGGGAAGGCTGAACGGGTGCATGGATAGGGCAGATGCTGTGGGGATAACCTCGACTTGTTATACGCAGCTGTTGTGTGCATAGTATGAGGAGAAGTATAAGGTGCTGTATGTATAGTATGAGGAGAAGTATAAGGTGCTGTATGTTTAGTTTGAGGATAGGTATAAAGGCGACTCCGTGTGCGATTGGGCAGTAGTGGATTGAGTCTGCGGCGGTGTACTGTTGCGGATGTATGGCTATGGCCGAATCGATGGATGATGTAGCTTCATAGTGTGTGTGTGTAGAGGGGTGATAGTAATGGTATGGGATTATAACCACAATTGAAAGAATATGTATGGCTGTAAAAAAGGAAACAGATGATCAGGGACGATAACAGGACACTATACACATAGTATACACATGCTATATACATACTATATATATACTATATACATACTAAACATATACTGTACACATACTACACATACTATACACATACTATACACATACTATACATATATTATACACATGCTATACACATATTTATACACATAATATACACATGCTATATACATACTATATGCATGCTATACACATACTGTACACATACTATACACACACACAATACACATACTATACATACACTATACATATATTTGCACATACTATACACATGCTATACACATACTATATACATACTATACATATACTATACACATACTATACATATACTATACATATACTATACACATACTATACACATACTATACATATACTATACACATACTATACACATACTATCCTTTTACTATACACATACTAATAACATGCTATATACATACTATATACATGCTATACACATACTGTACACATACTATACAATTGCTATACACATACTAAAAACATGCTATACATATTACATATACTATACAAATATTATACACATACTGTACACGTCCTATACTATACATATACTATACACATACTATACACATACTATACTCATACTATACATATTCTATACACATGCTATAGACATATTATACACATACTATACACATGCTATATAGATACTATATGCATGCTATACACATACTGTACACATACTATACACATACTATACACATGCTATATACATACTGTACACATACTATACGTAAGTATACACAATCTATACGCCCTCTGTAGTGTTCACAGTTGTCCATGCAGAGTTATAGCGTAAAATGGTACAAGGATCACTTGAGCGTTCTGTGTGCATTTAGTAATCGCGATAAACCCGATTGTATTGGGCTCACGAATTGTCTTTAATATGTCTCCATCTCCGAAGTGTTTCTTGTTTTTCACACAGTGCGTGTTGGTTTAGCATCGGGGAAAGACACGGATGTGGCATTGCTTTGTAGATACACTATCCATTCGTTTATACGCCTTCCCTTCATCATGCTGCTCATGTCTTAAGGGTCGTCCTTTACATGCCTCGCCTTCTCGTGCTGCTTCATGTAGCTGATGCCACCAGAAGCTCTGGTTAGACCCGTTGCTACATATACATAACCTTGTCTATTCTATAAGGCTATGGTATATGTACCGCACACTAGAGAGTGACACACACTTATGTATTCTCTCTCTATAGGTTCGCCGGTTTGTGACTTGTGTTCGCTCTCATTCCCGTTACCAAGCAACTATCAACTGTCAACTGTAAAGCACGTTATCAGAATCCGTGATGGAGCAAATGTATGACTCATCCACTCCTGGTACAACTGTTGGGCTGGCTGTCAACGTTGTTGACACATGCACGTGCCAATTCAGACCTCCTCTTTGAAAATGATGTCATAGGCCTACTCTAGGGTTTCTTATTGAGACTTCAGCTATAATCCGGCATACTTTTAAAACCCTATGTATGTACATTAGGACCTGAGGAAGCATAGCTATACTAAATACTACTTCATACAGTATGAACTATAGACCTCATAGTCAGCTGAACCACACTTTCTCTACATATTGATATAGTCCCATCTAAGCTCTAGAGAGAGTGCAACCAGAGGTATCATACACTACATTGCACACACACCATACAGACACTCCATCTACTACAACACAATCACTATGATTCGTCATGTGTTTTCTCATGTGGACGAATATCACTCCACAGCCTCCACCAACACAGCCGACACATGCACACAGAACAACGGAGTGTGTGTGAACACGCTTCTCATCGACAACTATGACTCTTACACCTACAACCTGTTCTGCTTGCTCAGCGTTGTCAACGGGAAGGCCCCTGTGGTCATACGCAATGATGCTGTTGATAGGTACGCGTGCTATGTGTATGCGTTTAACCGTTAACATCTGTTTGACGTTGGATTTAATGTTGTAGTGTACGCGTTAAATCCGCTCGCACATGGTACTTTTTTCCGGGAGTGTTGACATATGCGAATAGTTTAGTTGAACATGTGCACCGACAACTGTGAGCAATTAAATCACAGATGTGTCGTTTTAGGAGACTTTGTGTGTGAAAATCATCAAGGGCGAACACTGCGTGTTGAGTACATGATAGCATACAAGCACTGCATGAATGGTCACTGATATCTTTGATATCAAGTTTAGAAAGATATAGGACGTGACATATCACATCTCAGCATAGACTCAATATTCAACTGTGCACATGTTGTTTTTGAAAGTATTTCCGCGTATCGATTCATAGATAGGATTCTTTGTACGTATATATGTATGTATGTATGTATGTATGTATAATATATATATATGTATATATATATATATATATATATATATATATTATATGTACGTATATATATATATATATATATATATGTAGTATATATATATATAA